CCATTCTGTACATCTCTGAGGGAAAATCTGCCCTCATAGACAATCTACAGTACGAACGGAAGAGCTATGCACATATGTGTTCGTGATTAGGGTTTATCGATTCGCATCGTCGTCAGATTACCGCTGCTGGGACTCTCAACCAGAAGTTTAATTTTCGCATTCTTTATATTGTGAACTCAATCGAGGAAAAATACATAACGGTTTGATTCTGCCTGTAGTTGGAGAAGTTCTCACCGAATAGTATGAACTCGTGAACAATGCGTATACAACGACCTCTCCGCAAGAAATCGAATTGGAGTATGGAACACTGAGCTCCGAGTATAGTGGTGACCGGGCGCCGGGCTCCAAGAACACTATGGGCCATTGCCTATGGCAAAACTCCGACTCAACAGCGTTATACCTCCGTTTCAAAAAAGCAGTACATGAATAACCAGGACTGGTCAATACACTTATGATTCGTAGCAAAAACATCACATGTAATGAATAATTACATTAAAACAATGTCGTGTTGATTCAGTGGCTAGAGTCTGTCTGAACATCGCGTTACCGACCCGACAGGAGTCAGCCATGCCGCACTCGATGTATACGAGTATGGAAAATGCCAATGGGCGCCTTTATATGGTCCCAGGTTTCAAGGTTCTCACGTCCAATACGCCGATGCTCTGAATCACTAGGTGGATTGCGGCGGAGGATCATCATCCGAATACTGTCGTGGCCCTTCACGGAGGCATATACGAAGGCGTCTCCGAACCCCATGAACTGCAGTGCGCCCTGGATTCCGTTGGTTGAAGCAGCACTGAGACTGCCATGGTCGAGCTCGAGCTCTAGAGTCTGCTGCGCGTCTCCGAACCCCATGAACTGCAGTGCGCCCTGGATTCCGTTGGTTGAAGCAGCACTGAGACTGCCATGGTCGAGCTCGAGCTCCAGAGTCTGCTGCCCGTGGTCGATGGCGCCGAAGTAGCGACCGACAAGAATTCCCGGGCCACCAGCTTTGTGCATTCGGAAAGCGTTATCTGTGCATATCTCGTTGAGATCCGCGAGGAACTTGTGATAATATGCTTCTGATGTTACCTCGGTCGGGGAAAAACATGGTGATTCCTTGTCTTTGCTATTCACTTTAACTTGGAAGGTTTCTTGAGAACTGTCTCCCATGATGACGTGCACAAATGCGTTTGCCACAGGGCGCTCAGACGTACCATAGTAACCAGCAGTGTAACGAAGCCAGCGTTCAAACGGCTCGACCGCTGGGCCAGACTCAGACACCCTGAAATGCCCGCCCCTCGTCTCGATCACGGGTTCAACGTAATACTCAACAGGGTAACCGTGACGTCCTTGGGCGACCAGCCACTCAACTCCCTCGAGGGGGTCAGCAACGCACGTGGTGCTACAGGCCGAGAAGATGGCCACTACCAAAGGCAACATGTGGAGAGGTAAAGCAGTTTGAGGGAAAGTTGATTTGGAGACACATGTTGGAGACACACAAACACACGTCTTGCTTACTCGCGTTCTCTCCACTGGTACGTTGGTGGAAATTCCATCGATTCATCATCATGTGATAATAATAGCACAGTTATATGTGAGCTCCTCTAATCATCGCTTACTCCTTGTCGAGTACGAGTCATAGCACGGTCGAGCTCAGTAAGGGCATATTCTGCTTTTAGAGAACACCCAATTTATGTAGAACTGAAGTTCCTGAACCAACGGGTTGACGAAATTGGAGTTCCCAAAACCGCGCACCGTCAAAATTGGAGTTTCAATAGGGGTATCTTGGCGCACGAACTCGC